GATCCACCAAAACCCACTTCCAGAACTTGATGATTATTAAGATTGAATGTTAATAAATTATCAGGATTCGATCTTAATAACTTCAAAACGATATTATTAAGATTCATCCGGTAACGTTATTATTTGAATATAGTTAATAACCTGATAAAAAGTTGATAGCGTTATTAAGATTTATCGGTATTATGATCGGATCTCAATAATCTCTCAAAATTATTAGGATGGTTATTAAGATACGAATATGGCACAGCTATAAACTGTCATCATCAATTACAACGCGGCTGTCAGAATAAAGTACAAATTAAATACACGCCAGACAGTCTTAAGTGCACCTTCGTAGAACGACTCGTTGAATTTGAACTACTATGTTTGAAAAAGACAACGTATTTTCGTGAACGTATATTATTCATGGAGTGAATAAAAATGATAAAATCAAGTGGAAAATGAATATTTGTGTAAAATTATGTTGTTTCTTTATTTCCTATTTAAATGCAATGAATGATTTGGATGACACATCCACATTATCAAATTTAGAAAAATGTTTCCAACATGAACATATTTATCTAAGTTTTCTTTAGATTAGCTGATGTTCAAATGAATTTTGAAATCAATTAATTCAATTTTCTCATTTTTTACGTTCGCTTCCTACAAAGTGAGCTTGAAAATGTGTTTCAGGAGCCATGGGAATAAAGTGGCTCCTTAAACACACAATGGCTTTGTTCCACCGAGTGCACAAATTTGTTCTACACATTGAACATGTCAGTAGATACTTAACCTCACTTTGTCAATCAAAAACAAGAAAAATGTTAGCAAAGAATTTCTGAGCAAAAAAAAGAAAGTTCATATTCTTTTTCGGCATTTTTTCAAACGTTTCTAAAATGTTATTAAAAATGGGTTTTCATATTAATACACTAGGTATATTTTTATAAATAATTGAAATATTTTTTAACCAGAATGCTTGAAATATGTACTCATGTACTTATGCATACTTTTAGCGCGTTCCGCAACGAATGACAACCGACTACGCGGTCCCCGTTGTAGTTTGACAGTTCGGTTTCATGGCTCTGCTGTCACAGCACAAATGAAATCGAATTATCGGAAAACTTTAAAGTTTCGGTTTATTGGCAACCTGAATGAACACCAGCAGAAATGAAAAAAAACTAATGAAAATGTTGTGGAACAAATAATCATTCGAATATGCGTTTGGAATTTCAATTTGTGTTGATTTACTTACGTTCAGTCAGAGAGAAAATGAAATATCCTAACAGTTATCCGAACAGTATTTCGCAACAACAATCAAATGTCATGAAGGCTATGCCCAACAGATGTTCATATATATGAGCGCGTTCACATTTAGATGCGATATGAGCTTTCTGTTTGACAAATCGCTATGTAACATAAATAAAAAAAAAGAAACATAAATAATTTTCAACAAATACCGACCATTTATCAACTCATTGAAGTGAATACGGTTCATTTTGTTGATAGGCAATCGCTCTTTGATGTGGTATTTGATGATAGCTGCCTCAATTTCAGCTTTTCTGGCTTGATTTTGCAATTCACTCCTTTCCAAATTCAGATATTCGCATTTTTTTTTTGGACTTCCATCCATTGCGTGGCATGTACCTACCGCTCAATGAAGCAGCGGACTTGTCGGCACACTCGTGGATTTAGCATTTCACTTGCTTTGGCGATTCGTAAGTTGCCGAAGCATCATATATGCAGTGCACACGATATTTAACGTGAAAACCTATATCTGCTACATCGAAGTTGGCCGAGGTATGATTTCGTTTGCGCGTAGCGCGTAAGCAATTCACTTGGGATATATAGTATATAGGGATTCACGTTATATCGCAAGTAAATTGCTTATGCGACGCGCAAACGAAATCATACCTCGGCCAACTTCGATGTAGCGAATATAGGTTTTCACGTTAAATATCGAGTGCACTGCATATATGATGCTTCGGCAACTCACGAATCGCCAAAGCAAGTGAAATGCTAAATCTACGAGTGTGCCGACAAGTCCGCTGCTTCATTGAGCGATTGTAGAAAAAAATTAGAAATAATTTTTAATAATTCAATTTAAAATATTATTACCCTTTGAATGTGCGATTTCACATTTGAAATGCTCCCTTTGGTGAAAGTTTTAGGTGGAGAGTTCAAGTCACACAGCGTACATTTCGCGAATATTTTCCATTTTCTTTTTTTATAACATGAAAAAGGGAAAGTAGTTCCTTTGTCATATCACATTTTGTGGCCCAGAATTGTGATTCTTGCTCTGGGTTCGACTCTCGTTGTACATTTGACTCTTCCACTGGCTCGTCGCTTTGATTCGTTTCCACAAATGTAAATCTACGGCGGCGCTTTGGATCCTCCGATTCTTGTTGCGAATTAGCCGAATTTTCACCTTGAGACTGAGTGTATTGAACGGAGTTTAACACATATATATTTGATTGAAATAAATTACTGATTGAACGGAATTCGATGCTTCGAGTTTCGCTGTCGTTTCGAGACTGAATTTTATTTTGCATCTTACTTACTAATTACATTTGTGCTTACTGCAAATGAAAAAATGAAAATAATGATTCATAAACAAAAGGTAAATAATTGTAATTCAAAGAATCTGTCGTGGACTTTTGCAATAGTTTTAAGTTTCTTCTTTGTTAATTTTCATTTCGTGTTTGTTTCATTGATTTTTTCAATTTGCTCATTTAGTTTGCTCATGCATTGTTCAGTCAAATCACCGAACGCTGAACGCACTCACATTTGCTCTCGTTTCAAATGCGTTCTGCGACTTGACTGACATTTCGTTGTGTGTTTGTGTGAGTAACATTCATGCTAAGACGCTAATACAAAGGTAAGTGTATTGCGATGTGGCGACAGTTCGAAGAGAAGGAAAAAGTGAAATCAGTTCTTCGTGAGTCTCAGCACAGGACAGTTCCTTTTTGAATTGGCAGTACAAGTTGTGCGCAATTTAATCTGAGTTCTCATTGATACTCGATACACGGAAAGTTTCCATAAGTATCAGCACAAGTTGTGCATATTTCATTTAGGAAATCTCTTCGAATTGGCCAGCTCTAAAGTTTAGACGGCTGATTTGAGTGTTTGTCTAAACGTAAGTTGAATCGCACGTAAATTCAAGTTGAATTATTGCGTCGAGAAGTTCTCGTTGGCCGGTTCAAACTTCATGTTTGACAAACGTTCGCCTGTTTCCATACAGTTTTTTTCGACTTCAACTACGCAAATTTCACGCTTCCACACTCAAACACACAATCGAAAGAACATTCACACATCAAATCACCACAAGCATTCAAAAGAACAACAGTTGAATAAATCTACCAAAAATAAATTGACGCCTTTCATTCTCTTTATTTTAAATCAACTTTGGCAGCAATAAAAAGGCATATTGCGCCACAGAATAAAAAATATGAAATTCATAGAATAAGAAATATGCCAAATTAAAACTAGTTCATTTAGTCATACTTTATGTTGTTAACCGATACTGAGTCACTGAATTGTTCACAATAAGTAAAAAAAACCTGCGTAGATACTTAGCTGCGAAATTAAAAGTCGTTAGTCTTGTTCACGCTTTTAAAACAACCAGTCGCATTTTTATTTCTGTTTTGCCCACATGAATTGTGTGTTCGTTTTAGTATATTGGCTTGGTGTTGCATTGCAATATTCATCAATCGGCGAAACAAGAAAAGAACCGAACTAACGCAATCACAAAACCAAAATGATTCACTTTGTTTTCATTGGATTTCGTCACTTGAAAGTCAAAAAATCACTTCCAAAAGTTTTAAAAATGTACTAAAAAGTACTAAATTGTGTAAAACGATTTTCAAAATTTAGTACATTCTTAGAACTTTTAGAACATGGTATGCAAAGGTCTTGAGGATTACTCAAAAGTTGCTACATACCCTATTGCTCTACTTCGAGTCGTTGAGAAGTTATAGGACTTCAAAAATGTTGCAAAAAAATTACGAAAAATCGAAAAAATTGAAGAATTCCAATGGAAAACCTCTATTTATGCCCAAATATGTTCAATCGCATTGAAGTTTCTCAAAAAATGCCAGGAAAAACGAAAAAAACATTTTCGTAAAAAATTTAAAATATCGAAAAAAACCGAAAAAATTGGTAAATTCCTTACGGCTTTTGGGTCAGATCATCATTAATTGTCCCAATTCATTCCATTCTATCAATAAATCCCCCAAAAATGCAAGAAAAATTAAAGTCCAGACTTTAATTAAAGACCGGACTTTAACGGAAAATCAACAATTTTCATGCCAACGAAACGGTCTGGCTTAATTAAAGTCTGAGCACTTTGAATCAGCATTAGACACATTCTCCATTTTTCGTCGTTTTATTTGGTGAACACCTTATTACACAAGCACCATTATCTTTAAGTAAATTCTCTGGACAGTTTTTCATACACATGTTTGCGTATTGATATTTTCCTTTCGGACATTCACTCCTACAAGTACCGTCATCATACAAGTTTCGACATGCCAAACACTCTTTATTCGTTGGGCCAGTACAACCGCCAGCGCAGGACAAATGACAGCAATCATGTGAATTTGGGCCGAAACATCTACCTTCGCTACAATGTAGCGGACACTTGATTTTGCTAAATTTCTGGCAATTATGTATGCCTTCGCCCCAACAACCTTCAACGCACGATCGATGACATTCCGGGCAGTTTTGCCCAGTAATTGTGGATACATTAAACGGTCCTACGACATGGAAAGAAAAGAATGTAGCAACTGTTGTATTAGAATCTTCCGATCCCAAATATTGCGTTCTAAATAAATTCTAAATTATTATCGAAATATACCTGTAACAATTTCCTTCCAATTAATCGTTTGAGCAAAGCATAGATTATTATTTTTGTTTATGTACACTGACCCCGATAAGATTTCCCGTAGCGATGGTAGCTCCAGGGATTTAATTTCTGACTTGTGGACGATCAAACTATAGTTTTCCGCGCCCAATTCGAATAAAATTTGACCACGAATAATTTGCAAACTAAATTTGAAATTCAAAGAAAAGATGAAAAAAGAAATAATTTCCTGCATAAGTTTGTCGATTCGAAACAATTTCATCGCGTACCTAGGTAAAACGACATTTTCTACATTCACGAAGCTGATTAAAACATATCCCGTCACTTCACGAATATGTTGTAAGAAATCCAAATCCATCGTCGAATCGTTTAGCCATGTTAATTCTAAATTTCCAACGATATGTGTGCAGTTGGAAAATCTTTGACGCAAGTCGAGGTAATGTCTGGTCAAGTTCGCGCGCACTGACATTCGCGATTCTGTACCGCGACATTCTGTAGAGATATTTATATAAATATACATTAATTTACCGTGTCACTTGATTATATGATAGTCACTAAGAATCACTGAGCCATTTTGAAAGTGACACATCATATATATTAGAGGTGGCGCTACTTATGCACATCAAATGGCTTTTGCTTTTGCTTTTGCATTAGCTCTTATCCTTTTGAATTTCATATATGAAGTATACGAAAAATATATACGCAAATACCCAGCTATTCGTGATATTTGATATTTGAATCATTGCAACAAACAAATTCCCTCAGAATATTTTAGTTTTAATGTGAAACATAAAGTTTTTTTTTCCATATGGAGTTGTTGTTGTAAACTTTATTATTACTGATACGTATGATGTAAAAGAGCGAATCAATAGTTTGTACTGCCAGTTTCAAATAACTAAGCACTGATTCATGGACTCTTGGTTTGGTGTGTTTTTCCACCTCTAGAAAGTGTGAAAAAAGGAAAAGTGATTTTTTGAATTTTTTACCCTCTCCTACCGGTATAAATTATGTGATGTATTGTTTTTTTAGATGACTAGTTGATTGATGGAACTCCAAGTTGATTGTTGTTAAGGTTTTGAACCACGATTTGTTTCACTCAGTTTTACTCTTGACCATTGAACACACGTATTGACTATTCGAGGGTATGAAATGACAACGACAACAACAATAACAAGTATTTTCAATGTAAACATAAGATGAGCTCTACTGACACGACGCTTGTGATTATAGTTGAAAATTTCAATCACATAAGCGTATGTACGGCCGATAATCAAGATGCAATTCGCGCAGACCGTATAAGTTCTATGCTAGCGTCTCTATATTGTGTGTATATATTGACCGCTCAACGTGTGTTGTGTGTATGACCACTAGAGGCAGGTCGAATGTTGTCGTCAGTATGGATTTCATAGCCACGTGGCTATTTGAATGATTTTTTTCTTCATGTATTTGGCTTTCACATTAAAAAAAAGTATGTTTTTCAACCATTCAAGATAAAGAAAAGTATGTTTTAGTGCATTCGTATTGTCGAAAAAGATCCCCGTTGCGACAAAAGAAATTCCCTCAGAATATTTGAGAATTGAATCGAAGCATGGCATTTGTCTACGAAGAAAGAGCATCAACGCAAGTTTTTGAACCAAAGCGACACAAAGCAAATGTGAGAAACAAAGTGCAACATAAAAATTCATGTTACAGTTTAAAGCCGAAACTTGCTTTGTGGCACTTTTTTTTCTCAAATTGATGTTATTTCTCTTTGAATCTAATTTCGGGTATGATACAGTCTGTTTCAAAATTATGATAAATTGATAACGAGTGTGAATTTCGATGTGGCGATAGCACCAATGGATTGGGCACATTGAATACTGTATGAGAATCGAAAAAACAAATTGAACTTTTTTTCGATTTTTGCCTGTGTTGGACCGTCTACATGGGGAGTTTGTATGGAAACCTCAGAGCGTGGATCGGCACCGCTGTAATTACATTGGTTTATATGGTAAAATCTACATATGGCCAAAACTCGGATTTCCGAGCGGAATTCGGCAAAAATATTGTGTCCACTGCCCCCAAACCTCTATAATGAAAATCGATGGCTTCCCATTGAGCCATCATTCAACCAGATCCGAAGTTCCTATTCCCTCGGGCGCTGAAAAATCATGCCATTTCGCTCACACTTACGTACAATTTTTACCCGTATTATTAAACACATCAACAAAGCAGTCTGCTTCACCATTGAAAAATAGTGCGCAGTAAAGAAACAAGAACGTACAAGTTTTGGCAACGTGGCTTCGCTAGTGATCATGATTTTTTTTATAAGATTCTCTTTTTTACATATTTGTTGATCGATGTTAAGTTGATTGATATTGTACCTAAATACTTGAATGTACTAAACCATTAATTGAAAATTGGACCCAAATATATTCTTATATCGTGTGTGAGTCTCGTGCAAATATTTACACCACAATCGGCTGCTATACCAAAGTTGCAAGTTGTGGACGCATTTTTCCATCACAGCTACATAAACTTGCTTGAAATGAATGACCAAAAGTGGATAAATTGGCGTTAAATATTAAGTGCTGAAAAATCAACAAACTTGAAATCCAGAAACCTGTGGTTAAAACATTTGCACGAAGTTCTGAATCAGAACTTCTGATACACTTAACTCCTTCGAAACTTAAAAACTTAACTTTAAAATTGTATATATATGGACTGGTAATTTCTTTAGATACCCCAATATTCTCGAACAAAAATCAAAAATGTAATCAAAATGATGAAACAAAAATTGTCTACTGATTCTTGAGTGTGAATGTGGTCATAACATGTAAAGTCATTTCAAAAGTAGATCTCAACCAATGTATAATTTAGATGTTAGCATGAAGAAACCAAATAAATAAATAAACTCACCTCTTCTTTCTTCCCCTTTAACACCACCACAAAAAATCAATAGGATCATTAAGATCCATATGTTTGAGTAATAGATCATCTAAGAAATAGGATGAATACAGAATGAAAATAGTTTTCAAATGTGAAATATAAGTACAAAAAATTTAAATTATTTAGAACTAAAAATGTGTATTTTTCACACTACCCGAGCGTAAATGAGCAGTGAAGAATTCACTGCCATACGTCAAATGGAAGCTAAGTGTGACGCAAGCAACGCAAACTATTAACGATTCTTTTTCGATCTGATTTTCGGTACTAGCATAGAAGCGGACAGAGTTGTAAAAGTGCAATTTCAAAATTTGTAAGGTTTCGTGGAAGCTGTTGATAAAACGATTGGAAAAACATACACAAAATATACGGATTTTGATGAAAATTGACACAGACATATTTTAGAAGATAAATTTTAATATCCACCAAGTTTCAAGTCGATGCGACCTTCCAGAGCAGAGGAATTGTCGATGGAAAAAATGTAATTAAAAAAAAGTAATGATTACATAATTTTAAATTTGATCTCCTGAACTACGTCTGTGTCAAATTTCATCAAGATCCGTATATTTTTAGCATGTTTTTTTAATCGTTTTATCAAAGGCCCCCACAAAACCTTAAAAATGCGCATGTAATTGAAATGGCTAAATTTACAACACTGGAAGCGGACAAAGTGTGTGCCACAACTGTAGTTGCTTCTACAATTATTTTCGGGCCACTACAATTAATTCTTGGTTACTTCAATTATTAAAACACGTTTTATAGCAGTTTATAGCATTTTTATTCCCATATTAAATATTAAACTCCCCTGGAGCCAAATAAGTTGTTGAAAACATCAAGGATCGGATGACTGATTTGAATTCTACATTTTTTCTACAATTTTATGGAACCTAGCATCAAAAGAGGAAGATTCAGTTTGTAGAAATTTCAATTTGTGGCCAAGATTTGAGTATTACCGATTTTGGACCAATTTTCAAGACTCGTCCCGATATCGAACTAACGGGCAGACATATTTGGGAACAGACAATTGATTTGAATTCTACAATTTATCTACAATTTTTTGGAACCATTCTTCATTCGAAAAAAAAATTCGATTTGTGGAAAATACGTTTTTTGACCAAGATTTGAGTTGTCCCATTTTATAGCAGTTTTTCGATAGCCGATTACTCAAAAAAATTGTTCCTACATAAAAAAAGTAAAAACACTACATTAAAGTACATAAAATCTACAATTGAAATCGCCCTACCCGAAGTCATTTCGGCAAATTTGCCAAGATTTGAATATTCATCTGAAAAAACAGGATATTCCAAGTTAATACCACAAATTTCCATTGATTGGCCTTGAGATTTGTTAATGGTTATTGCAAATGCAATTCGAATTGGGAATTGCAACCGTTTAAAACTAAATGGCACTACCACTATAAACGTCAGCGATCAACATCAACAGAGACACTATAGCACATAGCATTAAACGCACTATTGCTTCACTCTTTGTACACAATTTGACATCACTTATGGTTTGGCGCGCGTCGTACGTTTTTCAAACGTTTATGTTTGATTCAAGTATTTCACCGAATTTTCGTACTCAATATCAATATATTCATTTTTACTTGGAAGTTTTTTTTTATTGCAATGATGTTTTAAAATATATTTTGTCGAGAAATATTTTTTTTCCAATTTCCAAAATTAAATGAAATTAAAACACATAGCATGAAACGTATTCATAGTAGAAATGCATATGTATTAGTTTGTACCCCAATGAGGAATGTGTACAAATCTGTAACAATTTTGAAATGAAAATGTACACAGTGTGTGCACAAACGGTGTACACTTTCATACAATACGCGTTACAAGAATACCATAATTCCACATTGGGACTTATTCATTATAATGTATTTAGATAGGACGCTAGCGCGGCCTGAAATGGCATATCAGTTGGAATCATTGGGATTCGTGGTATTAACACGTCTTCACCCTTGAATTTTCCCGAAGGGTTGTAACAGTGATATGATCGGCACATGAGCACCATCTCTACTGATTGCCATTATTGCAATGTAAATGAATAGAATGTCTGTTTCTTCTTCTTCTTTTTCTCAACATCAATTGCATACGACTTATGGTAACTCTCCGTAATCATTGCCTCTGCGAAGGCAAAATTTATTTATATGTATATACAACTCATTAAGTATTTTCACCGTGTCATAAAAAAAGGCGAATATTCATACAAATAACTTTAAAAAAAATTATTTGCACACAAACAAATGAACAAATCCATTGAATAATAATGTAACTATTTTTTTATACCAAAAAATGTTATTTTATAGTAGAAATTTTCATATTTGATTGTAATTAGCCTCTGCGAAGGCACAATCCACTGAAATAAATAACAATACTTTAGTATTTCCATTGTGCCAAAGAAAATAAGCATATTTTCATAGAAATAGCTTTAAAAAGGAATTATTTGCACTGAAACAAATGAACAAACCCATTAAATAATGAGATTTTTTTTTTTTAATACCAAAAATTGTATTTTGTAGTGCAAATTTTTTAATTGAATGTATTCAGCCTCTGCAAAGGCAAATATCATTTAAGAAAATGGCAATACATTTAGTATTTACACCGTGCCAAAAGAAAAAGGCGAATTCTTAACATTGTTTGCAATTAGCCTCTGCGAAGGCAAAAATTACTTATATAAATGACAATGCATTTAGTAGGGGGAGTATGTGTAAGTTGACCCACTTTGTAAGTTGACACACCCCGCCGATTTTGTATTTTGACCGACAAATCGTCAATTTGGCTAGTCTCAATTGATTTAGAAACGTCAAAAAAGTAGTTCGCAAGAGTGAATACGCTTCTTAAACGGCTCGGATCGGCTCATAAAAATTCTTTGCAAAAAAAAAATCATTTTTATAAAAACTAAATTTTTTCGGACCATCATCAAGTAGACAATTTCAAAGATAACAGCAAAGCGAGTATAAGCTTTCTTCACTAGTTTTTCGTGTATTTTCATAATTCTGAATCATTTCACACATATCATTACATGGCGAAATTCTTTCCGTGCAAATTGAAATGACGACCAATTTTGTAAGTTGACCCACCCGAAAAAAAATCAGAAAAATGAGACAATTATTCAGCGTAAACACTCAATATACGAGATTCATTGAATTTTAATGAATTTCCAATCGTTTTTGGACTTGAAAAACACGAAAAAATCGATTAAATATGAAAAAAATAGAGAATATGTATTTTTTTACAATTTCTATATTTTTCTACATTTTTTCATTGTTTTTCTTAGTTGTAAAGACCAAAAACGATTGAAAATCCAACGAAATTCAATGAATTTCATATATTGAGTGTTTATACTGCATGTTTTTTTTTTTTAAATAGGGTGGGTCAACTTACAAAGAAAAAACTTTGTTGCCAAAAATCAGACCTCTTAGAAAATTGACCGAAATATTTTGTTTTTACAACCAAAGCTAATGAATTTCCCAATCAAATTGTAGCTTTTTCGGTTCTCTTTCCAATGGTTTATCAAGTGTGCATTTATCTTTATTCCATAAAAAGTTATGACTAAAATAATCAGTGCGGGTCAACCTACACATAATTCCCCACCGTGCCAAAAAATAAAAGCGAATTCCCATAGAAATAACTTTTAAAAAAATTATTTGCACTGGGGCAAAAGAATAAATTCATTGAATAATGTGATTATTTTTTCATACCAAAACTGTTATTTTATAGTACAAATTTTCATAATTGATTGTAATTAGCCTCGGCGAAAGCATAATCCATTTAAGTAAATTACAATATTTTCAATATTTTTACCGTGCCAAAGAAAAAAGGCGAATCATATAAATAACTGTTAATAATGTACCAAAAATTAAATTTTAAACAATTTTCATTCGAAATATAATAAAAAAATTCAATTGTTTTTAATACAAAATTATTTATATTTATTTGACATTTTTCACCGCTGACGAACCACATGCGATTTGTGTACATTTTAATTTATTCACATTATTAAACAAATGACTTTATTAAACAAATGACTTTATTAAACAAATTATTTAATTATAGGGAAAAATGCTTCCGAAAAAAATGAACATTGGTCGGAAAACCCGTAAAGCGAATGTTGTTGCAGCTGTAAGGTCAAGGGAAACTAATGAACAGCATGAAAGTCGATTGGAAACTGATAGGGAACGTCGTGCAAGATCACGTTCTAATCGTTCGGCGGAAGAACGAGAGCAGGAAAATATTCAAAATCGAGACCGAATGCGGCGCAATGCAAATGCACGTAGACAGTTAACTTGAATCGCATTTGATTACCGATGTACTGATGATTATTCAACTCATCCATTTGTACAAATTGGAGAAATGAATCACGTATGCGAATATTGTCGTGCATTCAAATTCAAGAATGAAACAGATGGATTGTATTGTGTTAAAGGAAAGAAGGCACGCTCTGCCGTATGCCGCATTGAATTTTCGATTTTGAACGAGTTCGGTGAAGCCTGTTTGTCTGTTACTAAAATGCAAAAATTATTAAACAGTGGTCAACGCATGTTTCGTCCAAAAATGCGAATTTCATTGCATTCCCATGAGAAAAATGCATTTGTCAACGCATGCTCCCTGTAAAAATGCGAATGTCAACGCATGTCTCATGTCAAAATGCGAATGTCATTGCATTTCCATTAGAAAAATGCATTTGTCAACGCATGTTTGAAGTGAAAGTGCTTTTGTCGTTGCATTTTCATAGAACTAATGCAATTGTCAGCGCATTTTTACTACAATAAATTGCGTTTTTACTGAGAAAACGCATATATGTATCAAATTTTGAAAAAATGTGACTGTCAATGCATTCATACGAAAAATATTTCAACAAAAAAAAAGGAAATGCATTCAATATGTATAAATAATCATCTTCCAATTCCTTCGTTAAACGTTCTGCAGTGACGAATGCCGACGATACGGTTTTATTCTCGATATTGTACACGAAGAACTGAGTCTCGTCGGGGTACACGCCTGTGTTACAATCCGACTTCTGGTTGAAAAA